GGCATTACTTGTGTGTCTGTCTGACTGCCATTTATGTTCATTATAGGTAGGCATTGATTTAAGGGTACTTAACATGAGCAAAAAAATGTTGCATGGACTTATATATATTTTTTGACTGATTTTTACTTGAAATGAAATAAATAAGGCCTAAAAAAAAAATATGTTTGTTTCCTGTAACCCGACCGACCCATTCAAATTATCCCCGGGTGGATTTTTTTTTTCCTGACAAATGGCAAAACTTAGTTTGATCAATCAGCTGTTTCCATTTATTAAATAAAAAAATATAGCTTGTAGCTTAATTTGAGACATAAAATATGTCAACCAAGTTTACATTTACCTTAAATATAAAGAGTAATCATTAGTGTAACAACAGTACAACTTCCTGAAGTTCGTTTTCTGCCGCTAGGCAGCCATTTTGGATGCCATGTTTGGTGTCCACTGTAAATATAACACCTGTTATTTTCAGTCCGGGGATGTTTCACCATTCATAAGCAAAAAAAAAAAAAAAAAAAAAAAAAAAAAATTCCGACCTACCGACCCTTGATTTTTTAGGAATGTTACAGGAAACAAACTTATTTTTTTTTTAAGCCTAATAAATCCCTGAAATATAAAGAAATTGTAGGGTTTCCTTGGTGCTTAGATACAAGATTTGTCTTGCTTTCTATGTAATTCCATACAAAATTTTGCACAAATTTTTAACCTTACGACAAAATCTTGTAAAAATTTCCCATATTACTCAGTCAACATTATTAAGGTTACCGCTTTAAATGTAAATCTATGAGAAATATTGCTGATTTCTGAAAAAAGTTTGTTTGTGTTATTTATCCTTAATTGCAGATTTAGTTCCATTTTCTTTTCTAAGTATTAGATATACCGTATAATCCCTATTAACCGCCCCGGGTGCTTAGAAAATTGCAAAAAGGGGGCGGTTATTTTGGTATTTTCTTTATGATATTTAATGTCATATTTTAACGAGGCCCAATCTAGTTGAAAATTATGAAAACGGAATGATAAAAAATTTTAATTCTTGGAAATAAATTTGTATGTTTTATGCTTAAAAAAATTAGAATGAAATTTTGTTACCTTGCCTTTATTGTAGTCAAATGGGGGCACTGTCAAGATACGGACCATTTGTCATGTTCTTATACACAATTACATACTAAAACTCTTCAATAAACAAAGAAATTTACAAATTTAAAAAAAAATACATGATGAAATTCTTTGTTTTTCACATATATTATGCAATTTTCATTCTTCTTATAAAAAATGAAAAGAAAATTGGAGGTAGCCTTTATTGCAGTGAAAAGGGGGCATGTCAAAACACAAAATTTGGATTTATTCTATCCAACTACGTATTTTATAGGTCGCAATGGGTTTACATAACACCAACAAACGATTGCAATACTGTATTAGTTTCTAAAAAATAAATAATTCTTACATTATGAAATAATTTTCTTGCCATGCTTTATTTTTCTCTTAACACGCGACGTTGTTTTAAGTGGGAAAAAGAGGTAGAGGGATGGGGGGGGGGGGGGGGGGTAAAGGCGACAAAATTACGATTTTTACTAATATAATCTGTACCAAAAATTGATTCCTCAAAATTAATTAGGTTCCAAAGTTGTTTATTGATTTAAATATTTAAAAAAAATAATAGAACTGCCAGCTTTCAATGCACAGTCTATAGAGCTACCAGGTAAGCAAGATCAGCGAAACATTTTAGCGCAATTTGACGTCATTTTGATTGTGACGTTATTGTGGTCAATTGTGACGGCAGTCAAGGGTATTGTGACGTGCCTGAGTCGACGCTGCGTTAAAACGTATGCGCAGATCAAGTAGATCGGGCCTCGATAAGTTCAAAATATATTTTGAAAAAAAAATAAATCCAAGGAACCACTAAAATAATGTCCAACTTTACTGAAAGTGAAGATTATCCACCCAAATTATGTTAAATTTTTCATTTTCCATGGAGATATTGGGTAATAGACAAGTTTCATTTTCACTTTCTTCAATTTTTCGAAACCATTCTTTATGATTTTAATCAAGGTACAGGGGGCCTTTATTTCCTGATGATTGAAAAAGACCTAAGGGGGTGCTTATAGGGGCAGGGGCGGTTAATAGGGATTATACGGTATTACATTTAAATGCATATATAGAGAGAATAGAACTCTGGTAAATACAAACACAAACAATAAATACTATTATTTAGTTTCGATCATTTCAATTTTGTCAAAGAATGATTTTCTCCCCAAAAACATGGAACCAGGAATACATTGTCTTCAACATTCAGTAGAATATTCATTAAGATGCAGCGTTTTTTTTTCCTTATATAACTGGTACCGATAAACGGCACCATTCCCAATGCCAAAAAAATGTTAATTTTTCCCAATTCTGTGACTAAAATTCCCAATTCAACTGTGAAGCAAAAGATTACGACGACATTGTATTTCTTGTTAAATGAAACATTGTACAAGTTGACTAATTGTTTCACTTCCACTTAAATCGAAAGTAGACAAAGTCTTATTTTGGTGGGAGCAGTGGATTAGACAGCGTAGTGTCATACATTTTGACAAATTGAAAGCATGACAATGTGAAAACAAGGGACTTTGATATAAAAAACAATAAGTACTTGTTGATTATTCTTTAAAACAAGCAGTAATAGGTAATTAAGTTGGAATAAAAGCAAATACGTTGCATTTGCATAAATAAGAGAAAATTCTTCTTTGTTTTTCTTAGATGTTATTTTTCTCAATTGAACCCGTACCGGACCCTTTCCCAATGGGTGGAAAAAAATCGCTGAAATGCCCATAGGAAGCAATTTAATTGTGTAAGGGAGAGGACAAAACATCTTCATTTTTCTTTTAGGGGAAGAGATGGGTAAGGTTGGGGGCAAGGGGCTCAAAGCAAAAATTCTTTAACAAGCTTAAAACATGTAAAATATAACATTATTATTGAGGGAGCATATATTGTTGCTTTAAGCTATGTTTTCTATATAAATCCATTTTTAGCCGGGCTTATTGCTCAAAGAGCAATTGCCGGCTTATGTGATCCTGTTCAAGGCAGGATGTTGACCCCATAGTCGCCATTTTAAAGTTACGTGCAAAAATATAGTTCTTACTCTCAACCGCTTTTGAGATAATACAAACGCTAAATAAAGCAACAAAAATAAAACGAAGTTTTATCTATATAAAATAAACATTAGTAGTAATGACTTTGAAAACTTCATAAGCCAAAGAACATAGTTCATTAGCATAAGGATTTTTGATAATCAGTGTTACCGTAGTTCTCTACACATAGGAGGTAAAGCAGGAGAGGGAACCAGACTGGCCTGTTTGTTTACATTCAGCTGCGGTACCAGATTAATTCTAATTCTGACAAAATCGGACCGTGGTATTAGGATTGAAAAACTCACTGTCAGTGTCTTATCATATATATTGATAGTTTTAAAATAATTTTTTCATCAGAATATAAACGTGGTTCATGTAAGAAATCTATTCTACTCTGTAAATGAGCCCGGCTCTGTGTACTTCTGAGTACTTTGATTATTAAAAGGCAGTAATGTGAATAAGATAAGAGCTCTGAAAAATTCCCAAATCTTTATATTTAAAATGCACTTCTTTAAATCATGAATAATATGCATCTTAAGCTATTTCTAATAACATTTATCAGCTTAGGGTTTGTTTTCTGTTAAGTCTATTATAATTGTTTAACAATGGCCTTGCTTAAGGAAGGGCATCCAAGATAAAAAAAACAAAAAACAAAAAAAAAACACTCATGAAAAAGTAAAATGATCTTCAACTTGCTGAATATTAATTTACAGTTAACATGGTTAAGTTACCAATAAAAATCGAAATGAGAAGCAAGAAGATAAGGCCATCCTTAAAAAATTGTTTGTTTGGAATTGCCGCCTGGAGGGTTTCAGACACAGGAGGGAGGGAGGGAAATTATTTTTTTTTTAATTGAAGATAAATTATAAATTTTTGATAAAAATCTCAGAACAAAAATACCTAATTTTACATAGATCTGACACTACATTTCAGTGTTTTGTATGGTGCGTGTGATACATGTAATGGGCAAAAAAAATTGATTAAATTAAAAAAAAATCTTCCTACTTTTGGTCAATAAAATTTTTTCAGGAGGGGGGCATTTCAATGAGGCGGGAGGCAATTCCAAACAAACTATAATTTTATTTTGGCCTAATGAAAAAGGATTGACTTCAAAATAACTGTAAACAACATGGAACAATAGATTTATGACAAGGCATTAAACACAGACACCTGGAAATTCCACAGGTGGAATTAGGTGCCTCGGGGGAGTAAGCATTCCCTGTTGACTGGACAACACACTGTACAAACCTATGCTGAATCTTTATGTTTGGTGTATTAATAATATCATATGTTGTTTATTATATCCATGGACATTAATGACATTGATATGATGGATTTCAAGGGGGTGAAATGGTAATGGCATTCAATATTGCTATTGTAAACTGGATACATTTTTTGTGGTAATATTTAAGAGGAGAAAGAGAGGGGTGAATTCAACATATTTAATTACATATATCTATTAAGTGAATTTATAATATTACTTTCATCACACATGAAATTCTTATGAAAACATGAAATTTGACAGAATTTTCCCGTTTTTTCCCCGATCATGACAAGGAGCACACAGCGGGTGTGACCGGTCAGCAGGGGATGCTTACTCCTCCATGGCAACGGATTCCATCTCTGGTGTTTTTGAGGTACATGTTTGCTCTGCACCAATTTTAAGTATTGTTTAATGGACTTTTGAGCTTAATTACTCATTACTGTTTGTTATAGATCTCCTTACTAATTACTGTTCATTATGTTTCTCCTTACTAATTACTGTTCATTAAAGAATAAAGCTCCCCTTATATTTCATGCTACTTACTAAAGCAGTAGGTTCAAGTTACAGTAGGCTTCCTAATAAGCTTAAATCATGACTGAGTACATATTGTATAGGTCTTAATTAACACTTACTGATTAGCAATGGTTGTACTTTAAGAAAGCCTCATCAATTTCAAGGTGCATTTTGTTTTAAAATCTTATTGTCTGAAAAACAAAAACAAAAACTATCATAAGCATTAGCAAAAAGATTTATGAAAAACATGATTGTACTTGTACAATAGATCAGAAACTTTTCACAACATATCATTTTCAAGAGACAGGTTGGCCTTGGGGTGAGCGCTGTTATATATATATTTCTGAAAGCTATAGATTACACATGCCCCTCGCTTTCAATGGTCAATAGGAAAAGACTCATAAAATTGCACATTTAACCTACTACATGTACTATCCTTCTATACTTTCCTTAAAGATGTTAAAGTAAGCCGAGTCTTTCCTATTTGTAAAGTTTTGTTTGCAGTGTTTTCTATTTATTTCAAAGGAAAGGGTTAGAGAATCATTTATAACAGGCTAGGGGCTGAGGTTTATGAACAAAATCTCTGTGGACCTAACAACAAATTTTTATTTCACAGCGGTATCTTTGTCAATCGAAGCGGTCAATTTGGCCGGTTGCCGCTTCTTGGGGAAAACACTGGTTTAATTATCTTTAGAAAGAACTTTAGCAAAGGCAGCAATATATATATAATATGAATGCAGTCTATATGTTCTATCACTTCTATGGAGAATTGTATATACCAACAAGTCTAATGAGAAAAAAATACATAGGATCAATGTGGAGTAGTGCAAAGAACTTGTTTGTCTCTTTGCTCAGGGATTGTCTAATACAGTGCTCCAAGAACTTTGCAACTAAAATGGTCGCATTTGCGACCCAAAAATTGATTTTGCGACTAAAAATGAAAACACACTCGCATTTTCGCGACTGAGAAAATTTGGGCTGAAAACGTCCATTTTTTTTAAAGATCGGGATCGAGATTTTATTTGTAAAGATTCTCTATCAAGAAAATGTTTGAAGACATATACTTAAATACACTTTACAAAGCGTCACATGGTATTGGATCACGTTATGTTTTGGCAGCATGCTCATGATGCTGTACAAAGTTTGACAGAACCAGAGACGTGTATAAATAATGTTCCTGATAGAGTGGCATCCAAAATTTGTAAACTTTCTAAGATCCGACCTTGTTATTGAAGCATATTGCTTGCATATCACAATGAATCATGCTAATAAAGAGTGTTTTGGTGGCATTTGTAATGACTGTAATGGGTTAGGTACATAGTAGTAAGTTAACATGACAAACAGCAGGTAAAGTCCTGTCTCAACAGCTGTCAAGCTTGTATTTTCATTTGATAAAATTTTATTTCTGTACTCAGATTACTTGAGTTCTTCTGTACGAGGGTCATTCAAAAAATACGTAGACAATGCTTCTCATCGTCATATGATTATTACAAGATTACAGATCAACACATTTTCGTAAACATACACATTTATTTTGTCGAAGTCTGAAGTTTCATTCCATTTGATTAAATAGAACTCATGTTAGTCAAAATTTAAAGCAACATGTTTTGTTACCACGGAGCACGGTTAACCAATATTGTAACGTCAAAAACAACGCTGAGAAAGTTTGTCAAAAGTATACACATTTTTGTTATTTCAAACACGGTTTGTAGCGTCTTCTCCATTCAAAACACATATCCACAACACTTAACACCTAGTTTGCTAACAATTGTACAAATATAGCTTGAATTAGAATGTTATTGTTTTCAAATTCTTTGATTTACCATGCAACTCTATTATTTCTGCAACATTGAAGCACACATCACGTTCAATGACGTTCGTAACTCTTTTGACAATATTTTTAACTTTAACCTGTTTCTTTGCAGACAATCCATCGTCCGATTCAAACTCGCTACCACTCAAAAACTGTATTTTCAATTTAATACAAATACACAGATTTTTTTTCATAGAGATCCTGGTTTATAAGGATTTTTTAAGCTTGTAGAAAAAGTTTCCCGAATGTAAAATCTAATTTTATTGCTACTTGCTGCTCCGTGACGTCCTCCAACGTCATGGTTTTTTGCCTTTTTTAACCAAGTCCATATGTATTTAGAAGCTGATATCTTTTAAACGGAACGAGATATTACATAACCTGATTTCATTTTAATTAATACAGCAATACTTTATTTAAACATGTAAATTTTATTTCGTTTCAGCTCCATTTATTAGAGGTATAGCTGTAAATACTACAAAGTGAAAATTAGAAATTTACTCAATTTTGAAGGTGCTCCGTGACCCCATTTTTGCTGTTCTAAATCCTTGGTAATTTTAATAAATATGAAGATACATTCCAATTTTTTTACTCAAATTATTTGAATCTGTTGTTAAAATATTTGTACAAAATTTGGATATAATATGACGTTAAATAAAAAAGTTAGGACGAAAGTCTACGAACTTTTTGAATGACCCTCGTACAACCATAAGGGTACATGTATTCAATAAAAATATTTAATTCAACCTAGAAAATTTTTATAGTTACAGTAATAAGTAATCTTTGATATAATAAAGACATAGTACATATCCTTATTTAAATTATCAAGTTTTATTCACAAAATGTATTTTTTTTTTATGGCGAGTGAAATATTTGATTATGGCGACCAGAAATTCTGATATGGCGATCAAAAAAAAATTTAGGTCACCATTTTGCGACCTAAGAGCAAGTGTGACTTGGAGCACTGTAATATTAAGAGCTCAGCTCCCTATAACATTTTCTAATTCATCAAATGCAAAGCATTCACCTGAGTATTGAGAAAATAGGGCTTCTGAATTACTCTCTTGACTAAAATAATTTGAATGGATGATATTCCTGTCCCGTGTAAATATAAGAATGAAAAAGAAATAAGGCCATTTTTCAAATTTTAAAATAGTGTTTACTTTTTGTCCTAGCTCTGCCGACTCTGGGTGAAATTATTATTAAAGTAGGTAGGTGAGAAAATCTTTTTTTCTGAAAATCTTTTCTTTCTTTTTAGAAAATTTTTGCATATCTGTTGATAGAATAAGAGAAAGAAAACAATAATTATTGCATCCTGCAATTTAAAAAAAAAAACAACTTTTTAATCGGGCTATTATTAATCAATGGGTCAGGAGAGGGCAAACAAACAATTTCATAAAGATGGCCTAAAAGTGTTTCTTTTTTTTTTTTCTATTTTCAAGGTTATATATCCACAAAGGTTATTTGTCCTTTCTTCTATAAACAACCTTCATATTCTTTCAGGTTCGAAATCAACTTAAAAGAACACATCAATAGATGATGACACAAGCAGTGAAGTACACATACATTAAATCTAGACTGTTTTTAAAATGATAAGTTATGTTGAGTTCTACTGGTGAACAGCAAGTGTGCAGCAATTTTCAGGAGATAGTCTAAACAAGCACACCCATGGAATAAGTAAATTTGAAGACGGTAACCACAAATTCCTATATATGCAAGAAGCAGCTAATATCAGTTGAAGTCAGTGGGGTTTTTTTTCAAAGGGGAAGGGGGGTTATTGAAATTTAAAAGAACTAAGCCTTTTAAATTCACAGTAATGCATGTTCGAGATTTCTGATTCCACTACAGTAAAACTCCTTTATAACAAAGTCACTGGGACCTACGAAATTACTTCACTATATCCATAAAATTTTATATAATAATGTTGTGTTTTGCACGCACTATGCCTAAATAGTAGTCAGGGTTTGACACATGGTGCACGAGCCAGATAAAATGTCAGTATATTGCTAGTACAGGAGGTATTACATTAAAATCTTATGCAATGCATACCATCTCAATTCAAAAACTTGTACAATTTTATCCTAACACACTATCCATATTCACGGTTCCTGAAATCGCACCATACGCCGTTTCACTAAAATGATTTTAAATAATGCCAATTCTTATGACTTATAAACATGATAAAGCTGCATATCAATTTATTTAACAACTCTATCAATTTTTTCCTGAACCTACATTTACCACGTGCTCATGTATAAATAATATAAATCCAAATTTGAAAAGATTTTCTCTTAACTCATTGAACATGGTCATGATGAACATGTTGAATCTCTTAAAGTATTTTGGGTCTTAATCTTTGAACATTAAGGTGTAAAACTTCTACGATATGTGTACTCACTGACATGCCATTATAATTATATCAAATTTTTACGGTTTTAACTTTTTTCACGAGTCATTCTGCTAAATTCTTACACTACAAGATCATGTCCCAACAGTCCAGGTGTTCTACTTATATTACACAGTAAAAGGGCAATATATGTCATAAAAATACATATACATTGACGTACAACTCAGCTTATTGAGATTCTGAGTTAGTTATCAGTGTAACAGAGTCAATATCCCCTTCTCCCAAACTATAATGGGTCAGGGACACCAGTCAACAGTCGCCATTTCTACAAACAGTCTTCGACAAGCCATACTTGTCGTTCATTTCCGTAGTTTTTCCCCATAATTGAAGAAACAAACAAATCTCCTAAATCACTGACATGTCCAATTCACAAAATATGTCCGCTGTATCAATAAAATATTAAAATTTCCACTTACTTCTAATGAAGAAAACTTCAACATCCGGGCATTTGATTAGTAACCAAATCGGGATCAAGTTGAAGGTCACAAATCTATTATCAGATTGTTCGTTCTGTACTAAAAATGTGTAAAAGGCTATCTGGGGGTTTCATTTATTTTATTGCGTAAAAACTGTTATCCACACTTAACATACACAGGGAATAACGTCAGTGGAAGGACATAAATCCGAATATTTGTGCACCGTGAAAGTATAATCAGGTCGTACTTATTATCATTCGTGTGTTGCATGTGGTTTGACCTGCAGTTCATTGACACTCTTTGACGCCTCTCAGTCAGGTCCATTTGGTTAAGATTACCGGTGATCGATGATAACATGCATTCAGGCGCTGACAACCCTTATTGTTATGATAAAATAGCGTAAGATTTTTTCACTTCAAAAGTAGACCTACATGTTTCAGTTCACCATGTCTACACGGGGGCGGATCTAATGCCCTAACTGTTTACAATAGAGTCAGTGATAGACATTAGACTGATATCCTTTTTTCCACTAAACGTTTTTGTGATCAATTAAGGTTTACCAATTCTGCGTTTAAAGCAATATGAGCTGCATGTTTGACATCGGAAAAAAATGTTGCAAATTTGTAATTAACTATTTCAATGACAGAAAAATAGAACATTTAGAAACTTCTGTTGTTTATATTTGCTATGAAAGAACTTTTCATACGCGCTGATTGAAGTAAAATTGGATTATTGTCGTCCTGTACAATAATGATTTCTTATATAATACCGTATATTCGGTTGTACAGAAATATTTTTTCTGAAACATTTTTAAACTTTATTTTGGTTTTATTGATCATAAGGGTTTAGATTACATACATATTAATCATAATAACACATTTTACCAGCAAAATAAAATTCTCAAAAAATGCAGCTCATATTGCTTTAAACAAGTAAAAAAGCCTCTATGACGTGAATAAATTAATTGATATCACATAATATGTTTTACGGTGTGACCGTTGGGGCGAGCGCGGTAGTACCATCGAAAAAAACTTGAAAAATTTATCAGCCACTTCAAACATCAAGCCGCACGAGACGTCTCGACTACCTGTGACGTCACACGACGTCATATGGAGCTCGGCGGAGCTTACGGAGACAGCCGAGCGTCTGGTTGATACTATAGACCTAGTGCAATTTTGGTCGAAAAACATTGCAGAGTTATTTTTTGTTTATTTGAAAAATATCTACAAACTGATAGCGTTTCATGCTTTACGTTATTATTTATTTATTTATTTATTTATTTATTTATTCGCGCAAAGGACATTGGGTAGTGCAGGAATTCTGGGAATGTTGCACAGAGAAATTTGGCTGACACAGATTTCAATCCGAATTTCCTCTGTTCATACACGTTAGTCTATTGAGCTCGCTGCGCTCGCTATTAAAGTTAGACACAAAGAAAAAAAATTTCAACTGCCCCCAGCGGGATTCAAACCCCTACAGTGTGACAAATTTTAGATCGGTCATATCTTTGCAACAAATGCACGCGTGAAAATTCTAATATGTTTTACGGTGTGACCGTTGGGGCGAGCGCAGTTGTACCATCAAAAACACTTGAGATCAGCCACTTCCAACGTCAAGCCGCACGAGACTTCTCGACTAGCTGTGACGTCATACGACGTCACAAATCTCGTCGGAGCTTACGGAGATCGTCGAGCGTCTGTTTGAAACTATAGACACCATTGGCGGATCCAGAGGGGGGGTTCCGGGGGTTGGAACCCCCCCTTTATTTTTTGCCAAGTGGAGAGAGAGAGAGAAAAAAAAAACATTATCTGAGAAAAAATATTTGTACGTCTAATTTATGTATTGAATAGATAGATTCCCACACATTTTGTTTCCTCCATTCACATTCATTATTACTTTTTTATGAGCGAATGTTAGAAAATATTCTACTTATTTTTATCTATGATATGTAACATGCGACGTTTAATTTGATATGAGATTCCCTTCGGGCGTTTTAGAATTTGATCATGTGGCCGACTTCATGTCATACCCGAATGATACTCTAAAAATGATATTTTATTTCTTAAATGTATACCCCTTTTTATCGTATCTTTTGAAGGAACTAACATGCAACTCTTTGTTTTACACCCCATCCGCATCATACCCCCAAAAAGTTTTTTTTTTTCAAATTCTAAAAGAAAAAAAAATCTCCTTACTCTAATTCGGAAACGCTGCATTTCCATTCAATTTTATAAGGCTTCAGTAGTTTTTGAAATGAGTTTGTTTTTTTTTTTACTCGGACTTGGGGTACCTCTTTAAAGAAAAAAGAGATGTAAACAAAGATATTGTTTACCACAACATTAGATCTTTCAATACGTGTGTGTGTGTGGGTGTATGAATCTTTGCTCGAGAGTATATATGGGGGGTTATTAGAGGGACACAACCCTGGAACCCCCCCTTTCAAAAATTGCTGGATCCGCCCCTGGACACTGTCGTGATCCCGTGCCGGATTGGACAAAACAAGATGGCGGCGGGAACAAATCGAAAAAGGTAGGTACCTGAAATTTCGGTAAATATCCCCCGTTAACAGTCAGATATGCTTGATTCGAAGATACCGTCGAATTCCTAGTAAAATGCTTATTAGTGTGTTTAATTGCTACTTCTCCTATCGTCTCTTAAACTTGAATATTTAACGATTGAAGACTGCCGAATTTCTCCGATTGAGTTTGAAGCGGCGTGTTGTTTTTTTCTTCGATTTTGACAGTTTTATGCATCCAGCAGCAGGAGTGTGGCTAACAAATGACACTTTGGAGTAATTCTGACCCGTTGTTATATGTTTATTTGTTATAACCCATTTTATTACAAAAATATTTCGATTTAAAAATGTTGACATGTGCTGGATTGGAATCGGTTAATTTTAATGGAAATTGTGCCGGATTTGACTGCATTTTTGGTGCCGGATTGGATAATGTTCATGATAGTCATTTATGTAATAACTTTGTTTTTCTCTTTAATTTTTAAGATATGGATGCATCGTTTTATGAAATATAAATGAAAAAAATGAAATATAGCTTATTTTAGAAGGAGGAATTTAAATAATATAGCTTATTTTACCGAATTAGGATTGTTATCAGTTATGGTCATCCCCCCCCCCCATCAAAAATCTTTTTTTTTCCCCTTATTCTTTTTATCTCAAATTTTATTGTACCAATATTTCTTTTACAGATACTACTGTTTTGGTAAACCTCAAAGAGCTCGTTGGGCCAGAAAAAAGGAAAGGAGGAACCGTTAGTAAGCCAGAGGAATCGTCCACAAATACCTTAAGCATACGAGAATTTCACCATGCACATAAGGCGAAATTCGAAATCGCATCACGTTACTTAGTAGGGCCTTTCCGTCAGAGGTCAGACAAACAGCCTGGAATGTATCATCATCAACGGGTGTTAAAAATTTATACATTTCCTGTTTATTTGAATTTAGGATTGAAGGGTTTAGAAGTCCCTTCTCTTGTATATTTTAGGAACTATCATTACAGTCAATAAAGTTAAACTTCATACTCCACAGATAAGAGGTCTTCCAACATTTATTTCAAAGTTTGTGAAAAAGGGGGGTTGTCATGGCGTCTATGTAGTACATGTGCATTCGAGGTTATTTTTAGACTGCTTATAGGAAAGGCCCGAGAGTTTGTCATTGGCGAAATTAAATTCGATCCTACTTAACAGAGTACCTAAGTACGCTAGTACAAAAGAGTGCTTTAGAGAACGCTAATAAAATTTTATAAGTTAATGCAAATAAACTGCTATTTGTATGTTTTTCTAAATTAGTTTAACATAATAAACATATCATTTAAATAAAATGTGTATGTGTTCTTTATTTTCGAAGTTAGGTCTATTTTAATTTTTTTATTTCAGATTACAGTATAACACTTGATCCCGATATCGATGTAATTTAAGTTCAAATGTTTCGTTGTTAATGTGTAAAATATTACATTTTAAGTAATGCAATTAATTTAATTTTTGATGAATTAAAATTAAGTTGAAATTAATAAGTCTGAGACAACATTACTTATGCTGTAGTAAATGTTTATTGAAGGGCTGGATGGCCCCTAACTTTTTGTGATATAAGGTAAATGTAGTATAAAAAATTGCTACTGAAAGAAGTTGGCTTTGAAATTGAAATTTCTGTGGCTGCCCCCCCTTCAAAAACGATGCTACGTGGATGTACTGTACAAAACCATGAACATGATCTAGTAGAATACTAGAATTTCAAATTTGGTTGTATTTCAGAAAACAAAATTAAAATGTTTCTTCTGTTATACGGCAAATTAAATGAACTTACCGTAAAATTGTTTACAATAGTTTTTGGTAAAATAGTAACTTGCTAGAAAAAAGTGTCAATGGTGACAAAGGCATTCCTTTATCTACTAAGGGGAAGAGATATATATTCAAAAAAAGACGAAGAAAATTTCGGACATTTTTCGTTAAAATTTAATGAAATAACAGTCATGAACATTTTTGTGTCTAACAATAACAAACAATAAAAGTAAAATGCGTGAAAGAAAAATAATATAAAAATTTTTTGAAACAATATGAATGAGAGAAATCAGTACAACTGTTTTGAATTTGAAATAATCACAGATATACCTATCTAAGACCCTAAAAATATTTTGGTCAGTGTCTGTTCCTTGGACTTTCTGAATTTCTCTATGCCTGTTTTTGATGTACATGTACCGTCGTAGGTTGTACTTCAACCTGTAGCAGCTGCTGTAGATTATGCATCGATATCTCTCTGCTGCTTCATGGTCAATTCTTATGTGCTTTTAAAGTGTCATCTCTACAAAACTCCTGAGTGCAGATGCTTAGATAAGCTTTATTAAATTCCTCCTGGTATTTCATTGAACCATGCATTCATAGCTTTAAAAATAAAAGAGAAAAAAGTTATTAAATAAATGACTATCATGAAGATCATCCAATCCGGCACCAAAAATGCAGTCAAATCCGGCACAATTTCCATTAAAATTAACCGATTCCAATCCAGCACATGTCAACATTTTTAAATCGAAATATTTTTGTAATAAAATGGGTTATAACAAATAAACATATAACAACGGGTCAGAATTACTTTGAG